TTAAACCAAATATTATGCACTAGTTTTATATATTATCCCAATTATCATGTTTTATCTCATCATATTTATCGCATTAATTATAATATTAGCACTATTTTGATCAACAAAATGATTGTTGTATATGAAACAGTCTCCAATTTGAAAAAGATTGGCTCTACCTACTTTGTTCGAAATACCTGAATACTTTATTTTAATCAGAATCTAATAAAACTCGTCACCTTTGTACATGAGTTTAAGTTAAGATTTATTCATTCCTTTTTTCTTGTATTTTTTAGTGTAACCGGAAATTTTTAATGAATTTCTTAAATCTTAATCATAGTCTGAAAAATAACTTCTTCGCATATTTTTTAGGAATCGAAAAATGGAAAATACTCTTAAAACATTTCAAAATACATTTATAAGACATTCGAAGAAATCTTGATCTAACAGCACAAGAAAAAATGAACTGATGATGTAGATGAAAGTAAAAGCATCATTAAATAAATTAAGTAATAAATTTGAATTAAAAAATATAAGTTTGTTTCAGTCAGAATGTCTTATTTGAAGTATTTTCTTAAAAATTTAATTGTAAAATTAATAAAACAAATGTTATTCCAAGTAATATTTGCAAAATGTTTTTTCTTATTCTACTAAAACAAATGAAGTATATTTAAGAAATGAAACAAATCAAAATAAACTCATTATCTATTACATATTAAGTAAAAAATGTTTAATGGATCTTTGATAATACGGCAGTCAAGATAAAATAACATTTTAAAATCTTAGTTTTTTTTCAAAGTATTAAAACATTACTTTTGAAACATATATTAAAGTATCTTTTTGTCTATTTATGAATAAAAATACTTACTTTTTTTAACGCTATAAGCTATTTTAATTATTGATATACCTTTTAAATTCTCTAGACAATTTTGTTAAGAAATATTTATTTAAGGTTCTACTTTTCACCTTTGGTTAAAGTCTTAAAAGCTCATCTTTTGTTATTTTTTAATTGATTCAGTAGTTTAAAAGCAAAAATTCTCTTAGATAATGCTAACAAATATTTCACCTTTTCAAAGCTTTGTTAAAATAATCTCCTGTGCAAACATTAAGGAAAAGAATTAAATTCTATTTCATATTTTATTGTAACATTTGTAAGTTTTTATTCTTCTCTTAAGATTATTTATGCTTTCAATTGATAAAATGCGCTCAAAGATAATTGAAAACTAAGTAACTAAAAATGCAGTTTATTTAAAATATAACTTCTCGATTTCTTTCTATTCATATATTTTGTTATGTTCGTATAGTTTTAAAGGAATTAAAATTAAAGAGCGAATGGTTAAAATGTAGCTTAAGCGATGAAAACCAAAAATTAGAATTATTAAAAAGAATAATACTTTAAATATGTGAGTTATATGCCATTTATTTTAATATATTAAGAAGATAAAGTATCATGTTGTCCATAATCGTTGCTACTTTAGTTATAGTCAATAAAGAAATATAATCAAGGGAAAAACGTAAAAAGCTAGGAATTTTATGGATTATAAATTTTTATAAATTATGTACTTAAAAGTGAGAATAGAAATTAAATTATTTTCACATGCTTTTAATTCATGATTAAACATTTATAGTTTTAAAATATTAAGAGGAATTATATCTTAAAAATTAATTAAAATCTAATTATAGTTATTAAAAAGTGAAAAAAATTGGGATCATTAAAAAAGCTTTTGATTAAATTTGCAGTAAAAACGCACTTAGATATCATAATGCCTAAAAACCCATCAAATAAAATACTTTTTTTTATTAATACCTAATTTTATATGAAGATATTAGTAAATTTCATTTGGACTTTAGATTAAAATGACTACTTAAAGAATTGCTATACTATTAATTTAAAAATTACTGTTAAATTAAAAATGGCATTTTATAACTTGCATACATATATCGAATACAAAAATTATAATCATCTATAATCATTGTTTTTTTTTATAATCCTACTAAATATGAAACTTGAATTCACATCAAGGGAATGATTTTTATAGGAAACTAATGCAACAAAAGCATATTCAAAGTCTCAACCAAAACTAAATAATTCCGAAAGAGTAAATAAAAATAAGAAAAAATATAAGTATTCTGCCGAATATTATTAACGCTTAACTATTTGTAAATGGTTAAGAGAGCTGTTAACTACTACACTGTTTTCGAATTATTTAAAGGAACGGTAGACAGTCAAAATCATAGCTTACTGAATTTTAGGTAATTATATTAATATTTTGAGAACCTCCACTCGATATAACCGGAACAAAATGATGTTTTATGTGATCTTTTGAGTCATTCTCATGTAGTGAAGTCGAAAATACTTTTTAAATATATTTAAAAAAAAGAATTATGTATTGAAACATAAACTTTCCGACCACTAAACGGAATTTTTACACATTGCATAGAAAGTTGACTCCCTTGTTGCCTAATTAAATACTGTTTGTTAAGTTAAAATAGTATATATTTTCAATTCTAAAAATTATTTTTCCTCCCACTTCTCGTCTACGAGTATCTCAAAAACTTGAGAGTGATCATCTTATATGCAATGTCTTAAAAATGTAGCAACATACTTCTAAGGGAGGTGGGGAATATCATTATATTACACCTAATGTGTTTTTGCATATTATTCTATAGCTTTCGTTGAGCAATCGAACCATCTTCGAGTTTACGACCATCAATCTCCAACTCTATATCCACATAACTTTAAACCCAATTCTGAATGGAACAATTGGATTAAACATTGAGACAAACTCATTAGGAGTTGAGCGCTCTATCCCGTCAAAGTGGCTTTACAATTCATACTTGAAAATGCCGCTAGTTGGGGCAATGCATTTGCTCTCTTAATATTACTAGGATTTACCATTTCTTTCTGGAAAGAGCTTTCAAAGCCAGAATTTACCTCGAAATTATGGTGTTCAAAACGAATGCTGTGTCAAGATTAACCTGCACTGCTGCTAAGCACAAAAAAACTTCCAAAATACTATCCTTCCCAGCAAACAATGCTCCTTTGATACATAGCATCTGATGGTGCAGTCTGTCACAACATTATTAATTAATCATCTAATTTCATTATTTATGTTCATGGAATCATGAAAGTATTTTTAATTAATCACGTTCGTGTCATATCTTCCGACCACTTTTCCATGACGCTTCTGGGTTTAAGTTATTACGTGAATCTCAATTCTCATGATGTACCACATTCCAACTTAAAAGTTTCAACAACATTTTTGAGACATCTGGTAGTCCACCAAACATCGTGTTTTAAATCATTTTTCTGTGTGTAAATTCCAGTTAGGTAAAGACATGGTATGTATAGATCAAGGCTTTCTTAAATTTGTCAATTTGCGGGAGCGCCAGAAGGTTAATGTGTTATTATGTCACATTAAACAAAAGTAAAACAATTTAAGGTTACTTTATGGTAGTTTTAAATTACCAGGTTATTATGGTTGTTTAAATACCGGGTTCGAATCCCAGTCGATACAAATTCCACTTCCGGCTTGCACCAACCACAGTGTTGACGTGAGATATCCTCAGTGGTAGACGGTTCATGGGTTAGAGTCCCCTTGCCGTCACGCTAACCGTGGGAAATTTTCGTGGTCTTCCTCACCAGGTAACGCAAATGCGGGTAGCTCCATCAAAAAGTCCTCCACAAAGGCAAATTTCTCCCAATACTCGATCCAGGACTTTCCTTGCCTTCTAGATTGGGTTCAAAATTACAAGGCTACGGAGTTGAACATTAGTAGTCGTAAACCCATAACATTGGGTCAGCTGTTCAACGACGGTTTATTAAACACTTCATTGAGGCGTGGCGGCTTAAGGGATAGAGCGCTCGCTTCCCAATCTGGTGAATCGGGTTCGAATCCCAGCGATGACTGATCGATTTGAATTCCGCACTGCTCGCAATGCTAACGCAAAATATCCTCAGTGATACGCGGATCATGGGTTGGAGTCACCTTGCCGCCAAGCTAACCGGGGGAGATTTTTGAGGTTTTCCTGTCCGTGTGACGCAAATTCGGGTTAGTTCTCCTCCACAAAGGCAAATTTCTCTCAAAACTATCCAGGAGTTCCTTTGTCTTCTGTATTGGGCTCAAAATTACAAGGTGACGGAGTTGTAAAATGGTAGTCGTAAACCCTAAATTTAGTCGTCTGTTCAACTACAGTTATAAAAAAATTAAAAAAGCACTTTATTTGAATCATGATGGTTTAGGGGATAGAGCTCTTCCCTAACAACCTGATGATCCTGGTATGATCCCAGTTCCGGCTGGTCAATTCGAATTCTGCTCCCGACTCGCACCGAACACAGTGCTGACATAAAATATCATCAAATGCAGACGGATCATGAGTTAGAATCACCTTGATGTCAGGCTAACTGTGAAAGATTTTCGTGGTTTTCTTTTTCTTCACCCAACGCAGATGCTGGTTAGTTAAATCAAAAAAATCCTCCACGAAGGCTAGTTTATCCCTATGCTTGATTCAGGAGTTCCATTGTCTTCTGAATTGGGTTTAAAATTACAAGGCTACGGATTGGACATTGATAGTTGTACACTCAGAATTGGGTTGGCTGCTCACCGCCGGTTACAAAAAAATACTTTATTCCATTTTTAACAACTTATCGCCTCTCTTAGAAATAACAGCAAAAAATACCTTAAAGACATCATTCAAACATTTTTTTTATTTATGAAAATGCTATTCCTTAAAAAGAATTCTTTATAGTATAAACGAAATTTTTTTTTAAAAAAAAATCACTTTTATGTATTTGATCGAAACTTTTAAAATAAGTTATTGTAACAAAGTTGTTTTTAGAAAATATTTACTTGCACTTAAAATATATTTCACAGAATATATCAGCTAACGTAATGTTCAAAAAAAGTCTTAAAAACTAACCTATGCCTAATTTCTTGGAGCCAAACTTTTATGTTATGTTTACATATAGAAAAAACTTACACTTTTACAACCTTGTACTTTTAATCCAGAAAAAAGAGAACTGCAGTTTTGATAAACTTTTATTGAATAGAAATTAACAACATTCAATTGAGTATTTACATGTAGATAAACAGCAACAATGGTAGTAGCTTACAATGAAAGCATGAGTCATGTCTTATGAGCTGATATACATTGAATCTTACGAAAAGCAATATAGCTATAGAAATGAACAGCAATGCATCCAAATCCCAAATCACAATTTCTTTAATTCGGTAGAACTAAAATTTTCTGAAAAATAAAAAAAAAACATTATTAAAAAGTAAATCAACAAATTGATTAGACTAAAAGAAAAAGATTTGGAATAATATTCAAGCTAATTGAAAAAGTAATACCATAATTAATACGTTGTTCATGATCAAAATCGTTTTATTGCTTAGTAAGCAATACGAAAAAAATAACTACTAGTTTAATGTCTCAACGGAAGCAGCATAGCATTATAAATAAATATCTATTATCAAATCTTACTGTATACTAACCTACAATCATTGTTTATACCAAACAAATATTAAAATAAAATCGTATAATTTACTGTAATAAAGATTTAGAAATCTGCACTATGATAGATTTTTTTAGCATTATAATGTTCAAATTTTCAAAATTAGAACGCTTCTCTTTAAAATATGTATCATTGTTTATTATTGTTTTTTAAATTCTTTTTTAAAATATCATCTCGCTTCTTAATTACATTTCATTTAAATTCTTAATTTCTAAATTTAAATTCACATAAATTCCCTCTCTTTCAACCTTACCTTGGTTCAATTTAAACGGAAGCATTGTTTAATGCAACATCTTATATAGATCACAAGAAAATCTATACTTTATTGTGGTTATTGTTATGTTATGGTTCAATGTTGAACCAATTTTTTGGACATTTTCTCGGACAACTTTTTTCATATGTTTTCGTAATGAATGTGTTATTTTTCGTAATTTTAAAAAATGTTTTTTACTCAAGTCCCTTAAGGACTTAATCCTTTTTTTGAATTAATTTAATAAACCCAGTTATTTAATCTAATACCTTAGATAGTATTTATTTTCTTGTNTTCAAAAATTGGATTCGAGAAACACTGGGACATAAATATTTTACCGGCAGATAATATATTTTACAGTAAAAAATGAAGGTCTTTTCAAAAATAATCTATTTGGTGTTAGGTGTAGCATCTTTATTTTAATTGTGCTTTTCGTTATTCTTCTTTTACTAACTAAATGAAAAGAATATATATTCTCAAACAGTCTACAGTGTAATAAAATTGCAGTGTAATAATAGTAATTAAATTACTGAATTTCATATCCTTAAGGAATATCAAATTTGATGATAGGGTCGAAATAATTCAAATCTAGATTTTTATTCTCTCTTGGTAACATCTGTTTCTATCTTTTTTCTAGGTTTACAATTTTAATCCTCTGGTAGCAATTACTCAAAAATAATCAAAAATGCGTTTTTTTTTTTAAATATTGCAGATGAATAATTTAGGTGAAGAGCTATAAGATATTTTAGATCGAAATGAAGTGTAAAATCACTTATAACATCTTATAAGATTTTCCAGTAATAGAAAGAGCGGTAAAATTTATAATTAACAGAACACTTCGAATCAATTGTGATACGATCCTTCTCCTTTAATATAAATTGTTAATAAGATGCCCAGAAACATAGTCTAATATTTTTCAAGTTTTAAAAATTTTATAGAGATTTAAACCAAATTATGAATCATAAATAGCTGGTTAACTATGTTAGAAGTAATACTCTCTAATCCTATTTATTGCCCTTTAATAATTGTTGTTTCTTATCATAAATTAGTTTTTTCTGCTAAATCTGAAATTATTCATCTAAAATATAAATGCTATAAATAGTTTTGTTTGCTTATATAAAGGCGCCCCCTTTTTCCTATGCCCATTTATTTCTTGAAATTAAATGTCTATTTTGAGATAAATTCAGCTAAATATTATGAAAGATCTCGTAAGCTTCGATTTTCATTCGCAATCATTTTTTAAATAATATTTAATGTTACATTTTAATAACAAATTTAGTAAGTTCTCAACCGTAATTTAATATCTTCGCTTACCAAACAGGCTGATATATTAAATACGATTTGAGCATTCATCACATTATGCATAAAGCTGATCATTAAGTTCTAAATCATTTAACGAACACTTTTAACGGTAATTTAAGTTACCATATTAATGTAATTGCGGCAAAGAATAATAATTCTAAAACTGTGTAATATAATAAATCAACGCTTCAAATAATTTTATAATAAAATGTAGCGTAGTAAGGTAATATCAGAAATTATTTATATCATNATACTCTCTAATCCTATTTATTGCCCTTTAAGAATTGTTGTTTCTTATCATAAATTAGTTTTTTCTGCTAAATATAATATAATATAATATAATATGATGTAATGTAATGTAATCGAGATTTTATTTTTAAATACTAAAAGGATTAATATATTGAGAAGCTGAGTCAAGAAAGTTTGTTTCAAAATAGATGATGTTATAGAATTAACTTATAATGAAGAAACAATTCTTAATTTTGAAAATTATCAAAATTCTAAATGTAATAATATTAGACAGAAATCAGAAAATAAATATTACAGGTGAATGGTTTTATATATAAGATACAAAAGTAGTTTATAGGAAAACAATACATTTTTGACATTTACTAATCTTATGTTGATAGCAACCAAAAAAGTATGGAAAATAATGTTAGAAAATTGGATTGATTCTAACATGTGATTTTCATGCCAGTAAAAATACTTCGCTAATAATGGAAAACTTCGTCACAATCAATATTAGTAGATTAGTCAGTTAGTAGTCATAGTAGTAGATTAGTTAGTTAGATTAGTAGATTAGTCACCATCGGTAGACTTGATTGCATAGATTAGACATATAAATAGAAATAAGGAAAAAAATTCGAAATAATTCTGTAGCTTCAATATATAAAATTCCAATTTGCTATAATTAAGATAACGGAGATAAAAAAAATAACGCGTGAAGCTAAAAACATAGTTCGAATCAACTAATTTTCAAAAAAAAAATAACAACTAAAATTATTTACTATAATTTCCTAACGAAGTCGTGAATAGAGGCAAAAAACTGCTAAACATATGCCCAAAAAGCAATTTATTTGAATTTAAGCATTATGTTTGCATACATAAGTTTGATATACATAAGTTTGATATACATATTGATGTTAATACAATTTAAAGCCTTGGAGGAACTTTGCAATACGCCACATTGTTTGCCATAATTTTCATTTTTGCACTAAATTGTTACCTAGTAGTCATACTAGATAGCTACTTACAAGTTACTAAGATTTCTACCAGATGGCAGCAGAGTGCAGAAAAGCATATTATTGCTTACATAACTACTTAGGTGTTTTTCCTAAGAAAAACTCGTAAACAATGTGAAAATGTGGCTTATTATTAATCCCCTAAACCCTTCTATCCATGAATTCAATAAATCAAAGCATTCACTTTGAATTTATTAAAACATTTATTATTAATTTTTGAATAAAATTTATTTTACCTATGCAGGATACATAATCCTGATGCAACAATGAGAAATATAACTATGAAATTTTGGGGGCTGTGGCAATGCTGGCTGCTCGTCAGATCTAAAAAGAAAAAGAAAAGTTTCTAATATATACTTTAACAAAAGAAATTATATATAATAAGAATGATATATATAATACGTTTCGATAAAAAAAAATAAGTATGCACGAGCAAAAGGTATTCATTTTGCTGATCTTCGAATTTTGAGGACATTTATATGTATAATTTTATTGCAGAGTACGATATCAAAAAGATCCAAAAATGCTTTTATTTTGTCTCTAAATAGAAGAAATGCCTACTTTTATGAAACTTCTGTTTAAATATTTCTAAAATTCCCTAGTAGTATCACACTGATAATTCATTATCAATCATAGTTACTCTATAATCGCAGCAAACCAAGCGTTTAAGCATTGTACTTACTATGATAGGTAATATTCTACAGAAAAGTTCGCATTAATATTTTTTTATAATCTCGTTAAAAGCGAAAGCAATAAAAAAATACAGATTATGTAGAGATGTCTAAGGTGTCGTAACTTCGCTTATTTTCCAACAATATACCAATTATCAATCAATTACTGATAGCAACCAATAGCAATATGTTTCGATTGTGATGGGAACATGAATTGACGACGAAGGACAACCCATTGATCTGTACGACTCTGCAATGTAGCTCAGCCTCTAGCTTGAACATCTCTATTCATAAGGATGTTAGTAATTATGAAAAATTTTATCATCAAGTGCAAAACACCCTTTAAATTCATGTCTTTTCCACATACGTGAAAAAAAATGCTGTTTGGATTAGTTATTATCGTATGTTAGTTCCGGGCATTTTCGTTGCAACCCATCTTCGCATTTCTTATAATTTCATTTGACTAGACCATATTTTTAGTTTTTCTATCCGTTAAAAATATTTACATAGCTGAAAACAACGTAAAATTTTCTTATTCATTAATATTCGATAATTATTAAAACGAATTTAAATAAACTAATGTCAACAAATTATTCATAGAGCATGACAAACGAATAATGAATTTTATTATTATAGTCCTGTGCATTGTACGTGAGCTCTAAATTTGAGTTAAAGTTTATAAGAATGTCTTTTTTCTTCTTACGGTTTAAAATTCTATTACAAGCTATTTTGCTGAGTTTATTAGCTTATTATTACTTTTCCAAACTAAAAATTAATTATTCATATTACAACGGGATCTTTTTTCTGTTATGAGTGCTTATGATACGGACAGTAATTCAAGCTGCTTTTAAATATATTCTGTCTTTATCCTAACAACATACATTATGCTATATATATATATATATCTATAAGGCGAACTCCATTGAATCTTAATAAAATAGAATAAATAGAATATTTTTATTCCGAGTTTAGATAAAGAATATTTGCTTATTCCGAGATTAAATTTGTGATATTTAATTTAAGTAAATTCAACAAGAAAGTTTTTTAGAATTAAGAAGTTGCCAAGTTTTGCGTTAAGGCGTTGTTTAGCAAAACTATTAGAAAATGATGTTAACAGGTTGTCTCTGTCTTTGGTAATGCTTAAAGGTTAGCTGTGTATCGATGACATTATGTCGGTCGCATAGAAATCAATGAACTCGAATCACATTTTAAACCACATTTTGAAAACTTAACTTCTACGTGAGTTTTGATTCACCTGAAGCTTAATTGATAAGTTTCCTGCAGAATGAAAATGGCTATTTTAAAAAGAAAATCGCATGGATATTTTAATAAGTTAATATAATGCGGATGCTGTTTGTTGATACATAATCTCACTTGCAATGTATGATTGTCATCATAAACTAATGAATATTATTGCAGTTCAAACCATCATACGTAGCTAATTCAGTATCTAAGCATGCTAAGGTAATTATACTTTCTGCAACTGCCAAGTGCCAGTCATACAAAGCGTCATGAAAGTTAAGACTTGGCGATTTTGTGATCATCAACATTATGTCACCAATTTCGTTAGTCTAACAAATAACACGCCAATCTTTTATTTAGTGGACAAATTAGTACCTGTGTTTCTGGAGTTGGGTAGATAGCCAGCTGGGATAAAACCCAGTACTTCATGATAATAACTATCCTTAAACAATGCGTCTGCAGTAAAATTAAGTAACTGAATAAATTTTGTTTTAATATTCTTAAAACGTATGCATTTCATAAAATATTCTCGTTTTTATGCATGTACTATTTGAACCAAAATTTCCTTTATTCAGTTCAATAATAATTTAAATTCTATATATATAATAATAATTAACTTATTATCTTCTTAACTTTTAATGAACTAGTGACGCAATGCTTAAAAAAACAAAAACTTTATATATATATATATTTTTTTAATTTTCAATCATATAACTAAAACGTGCAGAAATAAAAAAGAAGTATATTTTAAAGCAAGAAAAACAAATTTATATTTTTGAAAAAAAGCAGTTTTGTTCTAACTATTACTTAGATTAATAGTTAAAAAGCTGAAACCGCACTGAAAACATACGTTTCTTCAATCGTTTTTTCTCAGCATTTTGTTCGCGAAATGTACGGGTGATTGATCGATTTTTCGGACAGGTAAATATTACAAAAATAGTTAAAAGGGAGCAATAAAGCTGCAACAAGTAAAAATAAAAAGTATATACATAATATCACGCAACAGAAAAGGTGATTTTTAAAGTCTCTACTTCACACTGCATTCCCAACGTTTATTAATATATCAGAACGATAATCGATAATTTCTTTTATGCCGTAAATTTAGGGGAACGCAATAAGAAATTGTCGATTTTTTGCATAAAAGAAAAATGCTTTATACGAGAAACAAATACGTAATGTTTTTTTCGAGTTTTACGAATAACTTATCAAAGAGAAAAAAAAATATTTTGTTTCATATACATTAAAATAAACATTTCTTGTAGTTGCCCGACAAAGATTCTTAACGAAAATCAATATTATCGATATATTTTGGGATATTTTCCCTCATTTTCTTTTGTCAATAATTTGTCGAGATATTTTTTTCTCTTTTGTTTTTTAAGACTAAATGTAGATGATAAAGAGAACTTTTAAAAGCGCAATGCGTATATGAATTTTTATCATCAAATAATATTATTAATTATTAATTATTTGGAAATGTATATGGGTTATATTTAATAGAATTACGTTAAATATTGTATTTTTGAGTGTACATTTTTACATTCAAGAGAAATTTAGCTTTTTTTGCATATGGAGAATATTCTTTAACCAAAACCAAGGCTATAGTATATCAGTGCTTAGATCATCGGGCTTTGGTCCGAAGGGTTCAATGTTCGATAGCATCTATGATATGTACATGCTCGCATTATCTGTTGAATTGAAAGTCCTGTTGTCTGTCACTGTGCAGTACTATGAGTGCAGAGACTTTGCGAAAATGTCCTTCCCATTCAGATCTAAATTAAAGAAGTGTGATCACAAATGAGATCCCCTGTGTAGAGGATCAAAATTGTGGTAGCATGCATTCGGATCATCCTCAGGGATATTTCCCAGATCATCGTGAATAGCCCATTTTGCAGCTGTAGTGTGACGCAAATAAAATAACCTACCTTAATCAAAACCATCTAAATTTATTTTTGGAATAATTGATAGAAATGAAATAATATGCACATATTAGCGATTCTAAATCAATAATTGAGTTAAAACAGGAAATTTTGTGAAAGGCCATGACCATAAATCTGTGAGACTAAAAGCTGTACATTATCTCTCTCAGCTAAAGGCGATTACCCAGCTTTGACAGACTAAGTTGTCTTACAGATACACCGTATTTAAAACCTAACGAATCATTCTCGATGTCAACTGTGAAAAACAAGATATAGTTGAGTTAAATTCTTTTTCAGAATGCAGAGCAAGGGCTGTACTATTTTGATAACTAAACTACTAACCAACATTCAGTGATGATCAAAAATTTTACAATAAATACATTTTTATGATGATCATTAATTGCTGTTTTTGTACAATTTATTGCCCTGGAGAGCGATTCGAAGTTAAGACACCTTAATGTTAATTTTACTTTTCGCGTATGTCACTGTATCTCGAGTAACTTTTCAAGCGAATTGAAATATGTTGGCCCACAATGATAAAATTCATTTATCCAAAGACAATTCCATGTAAAATATAACTCTTAATAAATATTTATTAATTTCTATTATTTTTAGACTGTCGAAAATATTTTGAATTGTAAAGTGTACTATTTTTTACATCCTCTTAAAGAATTCTACATGACAAAATACAAAATTTGAGCAAAATCAAACAAATAATTTCTGAGAAACCGAATTTTAAATATCTAACTTTTTTTTAAATTCTACTGGTATTTTTGGAAAATTTCAACCGAAATTGCTCAAATTTTCTATTTTTCCATGTAAAATTATATTCTTTAAAATAGTGCAAAAAATTGTATACCTTAAAATTCAAAATGTTTTCCACCATTATTAAATTAAAGAATAAAAAATAGTAAATATTTACCAGCAGTTATTTTTTTCACGAAATTATCTTTGGATAAACAAATTTTTTAATTGTGGACAAAATCTTCCAATTCACTTAAAAAGTTCCCAGGATATAGCCAAATATACAAAAAGTGAAATTAACATTAAGGGATCCAAACTTTGGAGTGCTCTTCTAGACAAATTATTAGAACCATATTTCTCAGATTGCAGCTACCTTCTATATTTTGAGCGTTAGAATTCCGAAACCATCGAAAAAAAGTTAAGTTTATTGAGAGAAAGTACGTTGTGTACCTGATTTCGTAACTTAAATAATAGTCTGCATTGTTTGATTAGCATATTTGAAGTCACCCCTTTGAGTCATTAAGATTGATCCCTAGAATGTGAAAATCCGACCGATCAATAAAGCAAAATTCATTTGAGAAAATCAATTTTTTTGGTGCACTAATCAACTTTAAAAACGTTATACATAACAGGAGGTCTTGATTGCTTTGATAAGCTTTTAGGGGAATTAGATCACGTGATCAGGATTGAAATGGAATAGAAGCCCATGACCGGAAGTATCGTACCCGACAGATGCACTTTCCTATCATAA